ACTGTATACTCATCACCTCGCTATATACTGTATACTCCTCATTCCGCTATATACTGTATACTCATCACCCCGCTATATACTGTATACTCATCACCCCGCTATATACTGTATACTCATCACCCCGCTATACACTGTATACCCATCACCCCGCTATATACTGTATACTCCTCACCCCGCTATATACTGTATACTCCTCACCCCGCTATATACTGTATACTCCTCACCCCGCTATATACTGTATACTCATCATCCCGCTATACATTGTATACTCATCACCCCGCTATATACTGTATACTCCTCACCCCGCTATATACTGTATACTCCTCACCCTACTATATACTGTATACTCCTCACCCCGCTATATACTGTATACTCCTCACCCCGCTATGTACTGTATACTCATCATCCCGCTATACACTGTATACTCCTCACCCCGCTATATACTGTATACTCATCATCCCGCTATATACTGTATACTCCTCACCCGGCTATATACTGTATACTCCTCACCCCGCTATATACTGTATACTCATCACCCCGCTATATACTGTATACTCATCATCCCACTATACACTGTATACTCATCACCCCGCTATATACTGTATACTCATCACCCCGCTATATACTGTATACTCCTCACCCCGCTATATACTGTATACTCCTCACCCCGCTATATACTGTATACTCATCACCCTGCTATATACTGTATACCCTCCTATATACATTGTATACTCCTCACCCCGCTATATACTGTATACTCATTACCCCGCTATATGCTGTATACCCTCCTATATACACTGTATACTCATCACCCCGCTATACACTGTATACCCATCACCCCGCTATATACTGTATACTCCTCACCCCGCTATATACTGTATACTCATCACCCCGCTATACACTGTATACTCATCACCCCGCTATATACTGTATACTCATCACCCCGCTATACACTGTATACTCATCACCTCGCTATATACTGTATACTCCTCATTCCGCTATATACTGTATACTCATCACCCCGCTATATACTGTATACTCCTCACCCCGCTATATACTGTATACTCCTCACCCCGCTATATACTGTATACTCATCCCTCCACTATATACTGTATACTCCCCGCCC